TGCCCGAAGCGCGCGTTGCGGCCCCTTAGCCGCCCGTCGGCCCCTTACGCCATCCGTCACGCCCCCTTAGCCGCCCGTCATCGGCCCCTTAGCCGCCCGTCACGGCCCCTTCGCCGCCCGTCGGCCCCTTAGCCGCCCGTCGGCCCCTTAGCCGCCCGTCGCGGCCCCATTAGCCGCCCGTCGTTGGCCCCTTAGCCGCCCGTCGCGGCCCCTTAGCCGCCCGTCGGCCCCTTAGCCGCCCGTCGGCCCCATTAGCCGCCCGTCGTCGGCCCCTTAGCCGCCCGTCACGGCCCCTTAGCCGCCCGTCGCCGGCCCCTCAGCCGCCCGTCACGGCCCCTTCGCCACCTGTCGGCCCCTTCGCCGCCCGTCGGCCCCTTAGCCGCCCGTCGCCCCTTAGCCGCCCGTAGTCGGCCCCTTAGCCGCCCGTCACGGCCCCTTCGCCGCCCGTCGTCGGCCCCTTAACCGCCCGTCACGGCCCCTTAGCCGCCCGTCGCCAGCCCCTCAGCCGCCCATCACGGCCCCTTCGCCACCTATCGGCCCCTTAGCCGCCCGTCGGCCCCTTAGCCGCCCGTCGCGGCCCCTTAGCCGCCCGTAGTCGGCCCCTTAGCCGCCCGTCACGGCCCCTTAGCCGCCCGTCGGCCCCTTAGCCGCCCGTCGGCCCCTTAGCCGCCCGTCGCGGCCCCTTAGCCGCCCGTCGGCCCCTTCGCCGCCCGTCACGGCCCCTTAGCCGCCCGGCCGGCCCCTGCTGGCGCGACCCTGCCGGCCCTTGCTGACGCGCCCCTACCGGCCCCTGCTGACGCGCCCCTGCCGGCCCCTGCTGACGCGCCCCTGCTGGCGCGCCCCTGCCGGCCCCTGCTGACGCGCCCCTGCCGGCCCCTGCTGACGCGCCCCTGCCGGCCCCTGCTGGCGCGGCCTCTTCTGGCGCGGCCCCTACTGTCACGGCCCGCCCCTGCACCCGTCTCTGGTAAGCCGAGCCGCGCCGCCCAGCTGAGCCGCGCCGCCCAGCCGAGCCGCGCCGCCCAGCCGAGCCGCGCTGCCCACTGAGCCGCGCCGCTCTACCAAGCCGCACTGCCCTACCGAGCCGCACTGCCCTGCACTGCCCTCCTGCCTCTGCTGCTATTGCTGCTACTGCTGCTACTCTTGCTACTACTCCTACTGCTGCTATGGCTAGTCCTACTATTCTCACCTTTGATGCTGAGGGACGTGCAGTTGACTTTGACGTGTGGGTTGACGACCTACAACTCTTCCCTTTTTGATCACACGTCCGGTGTTTCTACTGCTCCTGCTGCCACTGCTGACAGTACGGTTCGCTCGCAGTGGACCACTCGTGACGCTGTTGCTCGTCTTGCTGTTCGTAGTCACCTGCCGCCTGCTGAGCGTGCGCATTTTGGCCAGTACAAGACTGCTCAGTCTTTGTACGACGCTGTAGTTGCACGCTACTCCTCCCCTGCCACTGCTGCCCTCAGCCGCCTCATGCTGCCGTACCTTTTCCCTGACCTTGCCGCCTTTGCCACAGTCGCTGACCTAGTTGCTCACCTTCGCACTAGTGACGCCCGCTACCGCGCTGCCCTTCCCACTGAGTTCTGTGCCAAGAACCCCCCCCCCATGTACATCACCCTTTACTACCTAGTCACCCGCCTCCCTGACTCCCTTTCTTCAGTCAGGGACCACTTTCTCTCCCTTTGCCCCACCGAGCTGACTGTCGACTTGCTAGAGGAGCGCCTTACTGCAGCTGAGAAGAGTATCTTAGCTGTAGGTGCTTCTCGCGGCGACCGTCGCACCCCTTTCTTTGAGGGGTGTTCCCCTGTTCCCCTTCTCCCCTCTGTTGCTTCTGCTGCTGCTGTTGACCTCGTTGGCACTGAGGAGGTCGGAGCTGCGTCTGCCCCTAGTGGGAGACGCCGCAACAGCAAGGGCAAGGGGAGCAAGGGTGGTGGAGGGGGCGGCGGGGGAGGCGGTGGAGGAGCTGGAGGAGGCGGAGGGGCTGGCGGTGGTGGTGGGGGTGGTACCGGGAGTGGGGGCTTCAGTGGCGGCGGTGGAGGTGGTGGAGGCAGCGGCGGAGGTGGTGGAGGCAGCGGCAGCGGTGGTGGAGGCGGCGGCGGCGGCGGTGCTGGTCGAGGTGCAGCCGCGCAGCGTGGAGGCTTTGGTGGTAGCCAGCGCCAGCAGCAGCCGCGCTCCCGTGAGACCCCGTCGGCCCCGCAGCTTCGTGAGTGGTACGCTGGGCGTGGGATGTCTGGAGGTGCTGGTCCCTGCGCTTACGTTCTTCGCACCGGCAGTCGTCGTGGGGAGACGTGTGGGCTGCCACACACTACGCAACGCTGCTTCGGTCGCTTGACTGACGCCTGGCGTGCCCAGTTTCCTGACGCTGTTGAGCTCCCTCGCTGGCATGATCTGCTTCTGCAGAATGTGCCTATCTTTGATCTTGATTTCGATGCTATCAGAGCCTGTTAAGTCCTGGCCTATGGGTCAGCCTCTCGCTTCCGCTGATGTTTTTCCGGTTGCGCGCCTCGGGCGCGTGGCGATTTTCGTTCTGTCCCGCGCCCGGGTGGCGCGTGACGTTTTTTTTGCCCGTCGCGGACCCGCCCCTGGCGCCCGCGACGGCGCCCTGAGCCGCCGCGGACCCGCCCCTGGCGCCCTCGACGGTGCCTTGAGCCGCCGCGGACCCGCCCCTGGCGCCCGCGACGGTGCCCTGAGCCGCCGCGGACCCGCCCCTGGCGCCCGCGACGGTGCCGTGAGCCGCCGCGGACCCGCCCCTGGCGCCCGCGACGGTGCCCTGAGCCGCCGCGGACCCGCCCCTAGGGCCCGCGACGGTGCCCTGAGCCGCCGCGGACCCGCCCCTGGCGCCCGCGACGGTGCCCTGAGCCGCCGCGGACCCGCCCCTGGCGCCCGCGACGGTGCCCTGAGCCGCCGCGGACCCGCCCCTGGCGCCCGCGACGGTGCCCTGAGCCGCCGCGGACCCGCCCCTGGCGCCCGCGACGGTGCCCTGAGCCGCCGCGGACCCGCCCCTGGCGCCCGCGACGGTGCCCTGTGCCGCCGCGGACCCGCCCCTGGCGCCCGTGCCGGTGCCCTGCGCCGCCGCGGACCCGCCCCTGGCGCCCGCGACGGTGCCCTGAGCCGTTGCGGACCCGCCCCTGGCGCCCGCGACGGCGCCTCTACCTCACCCCGCGCCTGCACTCACTGCAGCCGCCCCTGCCCTAAAGCGCGCCGACCCTCTGTAGCCGCTCTGCGGCTTTATCCCCGCCCCCCCCCCCCCCCCCCCCTCCTCCCTCCTTCGTCTCCCTGCAGCCGTGGGGGGGAGGGTCTGGGGGTGGCGGGTGTATGGGGTGATGGATGGTGTGTTTCCCTTCCCCTCCTCCTCCTTTCGTTCCCACTGCTGCAGCTGCCGCTGGGGGGGAGGGTGTGAGGGTGTGGGGGAGCCAGGGGAGTGGCATTGGGGTGGCGGGTGTGAGACCAACCAGCCCCCGTCCCTCTGAGGGGGGGGGGGGGGGGGGAGGAGAGTAAAGGGGTGGCAGGAGTGCCTGCCCCTTTGCTGCTGTACCTGCTCTGTTACCTTGCCTGCTGTTGCTGTTTTCTCTATCTGTGGTGTACCCCTGCAGGTTGTGTTCTGCACTTAGCTATTCCTGCATGCAGTTACGGGGGGATGTCAGAATCATATTCTTATACCTGCATGTAGTTCTAGCTGTAGTGTAGATATTAACTTTATAGGTGGTGCACCTCTTTGTTTGCTATATGTACCCTAGTGCTATAGTGAACATCCATTCTCCTCTCATCTCTCGACTCTCCCTCCTTGGCACAAACTAGCTCGACCCCACTTTGGCCTAGGCTACTAAGCCTAGGCCCACTATTTCGACAGATGTTACAAAAAAAAAGTGAAACGGAGTGTCTAGCGACGCTAGATAGGTTTGGTCGAGTGAGATAAACTGCTCGACACTTTAGATCTTTATGTCGAAATCTTTCGCTTTGTCGGACAGGGAAACGACGCTGCTCGACAAGTTTGGCGTCGATTTAAATCGTGACGTACCAGAAATAGAGAAACGGCCCCTGTTGTCGAGAATTAACTACGTCGAACGATGTTCAGGCTAAAAATCATATTTCCCGAGCGAGAAATCAGAATATTTTTCGAATTACATTTTCTGATCGAAAAAATATTGCAGTTCTCTTTCGACAAAATCTGAAAATGTCAGGGCAAGTTTTTCATACCGCTCCGTCGAACTGTCACAACACCACAGCACTTTTAGAAATTGTGGTAGACGTTTTACCTTTTTCGGAGAACATATTTGCAGCAATATTTAAAGTCTTGTCGAATGCGCGACAACTTAAGTTCTGTCGAAGAAGGGAAAATTGCAGAAGAAGAGGTATACGCCCTGTCAAAGTGAGAAGTTCTTGTCTAAATATATAGGAAAAACCCACTCGACGGAAAGCGGTGAGCTGAACTACCCTTCCCGTCGAGAAGTCCCGAATTTGCAACAGTACGGCTGACATATATATGCGCATAAGAACACGACATTGAGACGGAGGGATTCGGAGGGTTTTTTGGGGGGATTTTTCGCCTGGTCAGGCGGGAGTTTCGGGGTGACCCGAGGGATTCGGAGGGTTTTTCGGTTTGCCCCCGAATGTGCCAGGGGGCGTGGGGCGGCATTGATGACGTCAGCCGTCCCTATATTACTGGAAATCCAGCGCCAGAAATGCTGAGAAGCCCCCACAAGGAGTTCGACCTCGCTGCACAAAGAACAGTCTGACCTTACACAACTCACCGAACTGAACACGCTCCAACAGCTCTCCAACAGCCCCACAATGCGCGCCCTTCACATTCAGCTCCGCGGAAATTGTCCCCCTCCTCCAAAACTGCTCGCGCTCAGCCCTTGCTTCATTGAGCAATCCGCGGGAACAAATTCAGGGCAGCTTTGCTGTTTCATGTCGTGGAACAGATTTGAGAAGGCTCATAGATTCGCGAATTCGTCGCAGATTATATCAGATTCCTTAGTGTAAGCCGAAATCCCGAGATGAGCTCATCTGGAGGCCCGTCGGGACCGTCAACGTCAACGGCTGGCGGTTCAGGCCAGGCGTCCGGGCAGCAGCTGGTAGCTGGCCCGAGCAACACGGCTCTCGTTCCTGCTGCCGCTGCTGCTCTCATTCCTGCTGCTCCGGACGTTCAGCCGATGGAGCTGATTGGCCGGCCCACGAACGCCAAATACGGCACGCTGGGCCGGCCCGTGAAGGTTCTGGTGAATTTCTTCAAGGTGGATCTGCGCATCCCCTCCTCGCCTCTCGTCCACTACGACGTGAGTGACATTTCGGTTTCTATTTTCTTGCTGTTTCCTGTCGCATCATTTTTTTTTTCTCCCTTTTATTTTCGTGGTAATTTTAAGGGCCCTCCCCCTGCTGGCGTATGACCTTGCTCCACGCGCCCACCCCCCTCTCTCCCCCCTCTCTCCCCCCTCTCTCCCCCGTCTCCCCCCAACCTCCCTCCTCTTCCCCCGCACCACAGGTGCGCTTCTCCAAGGATGTGCGCAGCATGGTGGTGCGGAGGGCCATGATGAAGGCCATGTACGACCAGCACCCGGAGACCTTTCCCCAGGACACTCTCCCCCTGCTGGCATACGACGGCCAGAGCACCCTCTTTGCCCTGCGCCCTCTCAAGATCCCGTCGCCCAAGGCGTTCCCTATCAAAATTATGGACGAGCGGTGAGTGCTGTGTGATGCGTGCGAGCGTGAAGGCGGCCATGTACGAGCAGCACCTACAAGCGGATCCCCTGGAGGCCCTTTCCCCAGCCAGGACACTCTACCCCTGCTCGCATACGACGGGCAGAACGCCCTCTTTGCCCTGCGCCCTCTCAAGATCCCGTCGCCACAGACGTTCCACATCGTGATCATGGATGAGCAGTGAGTGCTGCTGTGTGATGCGCGCGCGCGCGTCTGTGTGTGCGTGCGTGAGTGTGTGTGTGTGTGTGTGTGTGTGTGTGTGTGTGTCTGTGTGTGAGCGAGTTATCGCTACTTCGTCCCTGTTCCCTCCTCCCCCGTCCCCATGCCATCTGCTGCCCAGGCCTGTGCCAGCAGCGTGGAGCGATGATGGGGAGCGATGACGGGGAGCGATGATGGGGAGGCTGCACCGATTCTGAAGTTGGCTAAGAAATCTGTCCCCCCTTCGCTTTCCCCCTCCTCCTCCCACCCACCACTCCGTCCCCCTGTGCGATTCACTGTGCAGACCCCCGCCAGCAGCGCGAGGCGACGACGAGGAAATTGCGGTGTTTGAGTCGACTTAAAATCTGTTCCCTCCTTCCCTCCCTCCGATTTACTGCTTGCCATCCGCTGCTCAGACCCACACCAGCAGCGCGAGGCGATGACGGGGAGGCGGCACTGAAGAGGCCGCGCAAGGAAGATTCGAGGCCGCCGCGAATCAAGGATGAGCTGGACATCACTCTCACGCAGGTGGGTGGGTGGGTGGGTGGGTGGGTGCCTGCCTGCCATCACTCTGGTTATCACTTTTGTTTGAAGTTTTTTCCAGGCGTCTCACGCAGGTGGGTGTGTATCTGACGGCCATGTCACACCATCATCCCCCCATCCTCCCCACACACAGGTGGCGGGAGGCATCTCTCCCAGACACCAAGGCAGCCATCACCCCAGCTACGGCCTCTGTCCCTCCCTCTCCCTTGTTCTCGCCTTACTATCACATCACCCCCTCTTTCCCACCCCCAGGCGGAGGTCTCTTTCAGACATCAAGGCAGCCATCACCCCAGCTGCCACCTCTGTCCCTCCCTGTCCCTTGTTCTCACCTTACCATCACCCCCAACACCCCCCCCCCCCCTCCAGACACAGGTGGCGGAGGTGTCTCTTTCGGACATCAAAGCAGCCATCACCGCAGCTGCCACTTCTGTATTTCCGTGCTCTCTCCGTTGTTCTCACCTTACTTCCATCCCCTCCTCTACCTCCACGCACACAGGTGGCGGAGGTATCCCTTTCGGACATCAAAGCCGCCATCACCCCGCCCCGTGCCCGTGTGCATGCATCCTGCCCCTGCTTCCCTCCACCTCAACCCACCCATCGCACACAGGTGGCGGAGGTATCCCTTTCGGACATCAAGGCCGCCATCACTCCAGCCGCCACCACTGACCCGCTCTTTACCCCTGGCGCTCTCCGCGCCCTCACACCCTCCGAGCCCTCGTTTCACTCTTCCCTGTGCTGCTGTGCACGTGTGTAATGCCCCCAACCCTTCAATTCCTCCCACACACACAGGTGGCGGAGGTATCTCCCTCACACATCAAGGCAGCCACATCACCCCAGCGGCCGCCTCTACCCCCGCTCTCCCTTGTTACTACCTTACTATCAGCCCCCCCCCTTCCCCACCCCACACACAAAGGTGGCGGAGGTAGATCTCTCGGCCATCAAAGCGGCCATCACCCCAGCGTGCACCTCTGCTCCTGTCTTTGCCCTGGACGCCCTCCGCGCTCTCGATGTGAAGTTGCGGGACTATGCTGCGCAGCGGTACGCCCTCTGTGCCCTCTGTGCCCTCTGTGCTCCACCTGTGCATGTCCTCTCTGCCATCTGTGCCCTCTCTGTGCCCTCTCTGCCCTCTGTGCCCTCTCCGTGCCCTCTCTGCCCTCTCTGCCCTCTCTGCCCTCTCTGCCCTCTCTGTGCCCTCTCTGTGCCCTCTGTGCTCTCTGTGCCCTCTCTGTGCCCTCTCTGTGCCCTCTCTGTGCCCTCTCTGTGCCCTCTCTGTGCCCTCTCTGTGCCCTCTGTGCTCTCTGTGCCATCTCTGCCCTCTCTGCCCTCTGCGCGGAGCCCTGGACGTCAAGCTCCGTGACTATGCTGCTGAACGGTATGCACGCTCCTTGCTGCATGCCTCCAAACCCCCCCTACATGTACCTGTGCGGTGCGGTGTGGTGCAGTGCAGTGCTGTGCTGTGCTGTGCTGTGCTGTGCTGTGCTGTGCTGTGCTGTGCTGTGCTGTGCGGAGCGGTGCGGTGCTGTGCTGTGCTGTGCGGTGCTGTGCTGCTGTGCTGAGCGGTGTGGTGCGGCGTGCCGTGCTGTGCTGTGCTGTTCTGTGCTGCAAACTCCCAATTGCCATACATCCAAACATCAATTTTTGAAACATGGATGTTAGAAGGCTGTCAACATTTGTGTACTATATTTTATATCTCGTAGGCTATTTGTAGGTTGGGTGTAAAATTGTAATCCCAACCCTATCTGTTTGGGATTCCCCCGTAATCCAACAAATATGCCAACTCATCTTTGAAGATTTGCTTGGATTCCCTAGCTTTACTCAACCCAACCCTGTTTGTACTTAAGGCCTAGTGCCTCCTTTCTCAAATCATCAGTTCAAGCTTCAATTCTGACAATGGATTCCTGTCACCCAGACCGTCTTCACCCTCCTGTCTTTGGCAATACAACACTGGCATCGTCTCAACACTCACATGCCCATCGCCCCCCTCTGCCTCCACCCATGCTCTTTTCCCCCCATCTGCAGCTTCCTGCTGGTGAAGGAAAAGTTTGTTGTTAACAACTTTGGCAATGCGGCACCGACATTGCCTCACACCCGCTCTGCTCCCACCCACCCATGCTCTATCCTCCCTTCCTGCACTGCAGCTTCCTGCTGGTCAAGGACAAGTTCTTTGACAAGAGCTTTGGCAATGTGGCACCGGCATTGTTATAACGCTCACTCGCACACCTGTTGATGCTCTATCCGCCTCCCCTCCTGCACTGCAGCTTCCTGCTGGTCAAGGACAAGTTCTTTGACAAGAGCTTTGGTCGAGTGGCCCCTCTCCCGGGCGGTATCGAGGCATGGACGGGTTTCAACGTGAGCTTCAGGCCCATCCACAACGCGCTGGCGCTCAACCTGGGTGCGTGCTGTGCTGTGTTGTGTGCATGTCAATCAGATTGAGCTGAGTACTTAGCCGTAGGCAGCTTTGGCAGCCGTGTGGCCCCTCTGCCAGGCGGCATTGAGGCATGCGTGGACGGGGTTCAACGTGAGCGTCAGGCCCATCCACAACGATCAAGATTCATGATGGGAGTAGCAGCGAACTTGTGAGAAAACGCTTAGCAGAAAATCAGTGCTGCTTTCCAGGTTCACAAGAAAGAGAAGCCTCGGACAGAAGCTAGAAACCTGGAAAGCAGCACTGATGAAGGCTTAGCGGGGTTCTGTCCCGTTTGGCCGAAACCAGTTTGCGATTAAAGGTTTTTCGAGGTTTGGAGGCTTTGAGATCTTTCTTTTAATTTCTAGGAACAAGTTTCACAGTTTCGATCCTTTTGCTAAGCGTTTTCTCACAAGTTCGCTGCTACTCCCATCATGAATCTTGATCCCATCCACAACGCACTGGCACTCAACCTGGGTGCGTGCTGCTTGCATGCCAGAGTGCGCTCTGATTGAGGTGCCTAATTGAATAGCTGGCGTGGTTTTGAGAGTTCCTTGAATGCACTCAGCCTGGTTGGGTTGGGTCCTGTCTGCAGCATGCATAGTGCTGCAGCCCATCCCCCGTGTTGGCCCTCACTCCTCCCTGTGTGTGTGTCCCTGTGAATGACAGTCCTTCTCCCCCCACCCCGCCCATGCAGTCTCATCATCCCACACCACAGACATTCTGACAGCGTGCATGGTGCAGCCCATCCCTGTGTTTGACCTGCCCTCTTTGCAGTCTACTCCAATAGCACCTCTCCCCTCTTCCCTCCCCGCTTCCCTCCCAATTTCCCTCCTCATTTCCCTCTCTCCTTTGCTCCCCATTTCCCTCCCCTCTTCCCTCCCCATTTTCCTCCCCCCTTCCCTTCCCCCCCCCCCCCACTCCTGTAACCCCCTGCACTCTTCGCTACCACAGACATTGTGACAGCATGCATGGTGCAGCCCATCCCTGTGTTGGACCTCCTCGGGTCCCTCCTCAACCGCAACCCGCCCGACCGCCTTTCTGACGCGGACAGAATCCGGGTACACCTGTCTGCCTGTCTGCCTGTCTGCCTGTCCGCCTGTGTGCCTGCCTGTCTGTCTGCCTGTCTGTCTGTCTGCCTGTCTGTCTGTCTTCCTGTCTGCCTGTCTGCCTGTCTGCCTGTCTTAAGGTGCTTTTTTCTCTCCTTGTCACTTTGCTGCTCTCGTGAGACGCCTCAGAAAAAGGATCGCTTTGTTACCCGCTCCTTGCCACTGCTCTGTTCCCTCCCTCCGTTCTTCTCTCCCTCCTTCCATCCATTTCTCCCTTCTCCATGTGGACACTCTTTCCTTCCTGCCCTCCTTCTCTCCCTCCCGCCCTCCCTCCCTCCCTCCCTGTCCTCCTGTCTCCCTGGCTTCCGTTTCCCCCCCTCATCTGTCCCCCCAATCCTAGCTGATGGGCATTCTCAATAATCCCAGGGCCGAGGGAAGACCGAGGGAGCAGGGACACACACACGGTGGAGGGAAGACCGAGGGAGCAGGGACACACACACGGTGGAGGGAAGACCGAGGGAGCAGGGACACACACACGGTGGAGGGAAGACCGAGGGAGCAGGGACACACACACGGTGATTCTTAACTCACACTCCCCCTGCTTCTCCCTCCCCCGTCCGCCTCTCCTGATCGCAGCTGAAGGGCATTCTGAGGAACCTGAGGGTGGAGGGAAGGCCTAGTGGTCAGAAGCACAAGGTGTATGACCTCACACGCGAGGGGGCTGCCGACCTCAGGTGTGTTTTTTTTGTTTTCTACGTTCGTTAGGTGATTCTGCACCTTCTTCTTCATGTATTTCTGTATGCTGCTCCGCTTTCGCTCCTCCGCGGGTGGTTTTCCACCCTGCACAGTTGATTCTGCACCCTTTTCAGGCGATTCTTCATCCCTAGGTGATTCTGCTGTTGTAATTTCATATCTTAAACAACATACATAGGCTAGAATTAGATGTGTAGCACATTTATAAATTGGGGGGTTGTTTCGTGTACCCTCCAACCACATTTTGTGGTTGGTTGGGATTGGTCCTTAACTCAACCAATCCCAACCAACACACATTTGTGGTTGCTTGGGCCACAAGCAAGCTCACCCATTGGTCAACATATTGGCCAATCGGGTAAGCTTCCCTCTCATCTCTCTCTTGCTCATTGTTTGTACTAAAAGGCCTCTTGGCTCATTATTCAATTGATCAATTCTCTCCTTCAACATGGTATCATGAGCTAATGGCTCACGCCTTCATCCCTCGGTCCTTAGGCCACCCTCTCCTCCCCGTCCCTCAGATCTAGCCTTCTAGAACGGAACTGCCATCTCTTCGCGCGCCCTTTAGGCGCTGTCCTCCCTCCCTGCGTGCCCCATAAAGGCGCAGCCCTCCAAGGCACTGCTCCACGCACGTCCAGATCTGCAACTCCAGCGCCCAGATCTGCAACTCCAGCGCCCAGATCTGACCTCCCAGCGCCCAGATCTGACCTCCCAGCGCCACAGATCTGCCCTCCCAGCGCCCAGATCTGACCTCCCAGCGCCCAGATCTGCCCTCCCAGCGCCCAGATCTGACCTCCCAGCGCTCAGATCTGCCCTCCCAGCGTCCAGATCTGCCCTCCCAGCGCCTTGATCCGCTCTCCTCGCGCTCGGATCTGCAATTCCAGCGTCCAGATTACTCCTCCCGCGCCCAGATCTACTCCCGCGCCCAGATCTACTCCTCCTGCACCCAGATCTGCACATTTCGTTACCAGATCTACATTCTACGCATCCAGATCTTCATTCCGCGCGACCAGATCTGCATTCCGGGCATCCAGATCTGCACTCAGCGCGACCAGATCTGCACTCAGCGCGACCAGATCTGCATTCCGCGCGACCAGAGCTGCATTCCGCGCATCCAGATCTGCACTCCGCGCGACCAGATCTGCACTTAGCGCGACCAGATCTGCATTCCGCGCATCCAAATCTGCGCTCTGCACGCCCAGATCTGCACACCTCGCGACTAGATCTGCACTTTCCGCACCCAGATCCACTCCTCCCGCGCTCGGATCTGCCACAGGGCTGCCCTCCTCGTCCCTACCCACAGCAGCATCATCAGCGGCATCTGCAGCGACGCCAACAGCAGCACCCTTCCCCCTGCCTTCACCATAACATCGTTCCCCCCCTCCTCCTCCTCCACCTTCCCCCACCTTCCGCTCCTCCCTTCCTCCTCCCATCCTACGAGCAGCAGGACCAGCAGCGGCAGCAGCGGGACCAGCAGCAGGACCAGCAGCGGCACCAGCAGCAGGACCAGCAGCGGCACCAGCACCGGGACCAGCAGCGGCACCAGCAGCAGGACCAGCAGCGGCACCAGCAGCAGGACCAGCAGCGGCACCAGCCGCAGGACCACCAGCGGCACCAGTAGCAGGACCAGCAGCGCCACCAGTAGCAGTACCCTCGCCCCATCCTCCTCCTGCCCTTGTTTCCACCCACCCTCGTCTCTATGGCATCGTCGGGTTCTTTTGTCGACCTTGCTACTGTTGATGCACTCGAGTTGCTACCCGACAACACTGCTGCTAATTGGCACTCCTACGCTCACTCGGTCGAGGTTCTCCTCTCCTCTGTTGTGATCAGTGGCTACAACCTTCGCTCGGTTGTCTTCCAGGAAGGTGGTGGACTTCAGCCCGTGGCCCCCACCGCTCCCACTGGACCTGTCCCCACCCACCCTGGCGCCGAGCCCTCTCCCCCTGGTGATCCTCCCACCTTTGCACCGAATGTAAATGATCCGCAGAGCTCGGAGACCGCCATCCGCACCTACCGCACCAATCTCCAAGACCACCTGCGCCAGCAACTGCGTTACGAGGACGAGAAGCGCATTTATGACGACGCCGCTGCCCGCTACAGCAAGTACCAGGAGGACCTTGACACCTACACCGCAGACCTTGCCAACTACACCACGAAAATCACTGCCTGGCGAGTTGCCGATCGGCGCACGCTTGCCATTCTTCTTGCCACTGTCCCCTCCTCCCTCAAACGCGAGCTCTCACCTACCTCCTCCTCCCACCTGTGGCGACTCCTCGTCGACCTTTTCGATCGGCAAGACGTTGCCACCCTCTACGCCCTCATAAAAGAATTCGGCACTCTCTCCATGGACTCCACTTCTGGAGCCGCTGCCTTCACTCGCCGTGTCCTAGACCTTGCTCGGCGCCTTGCGGCACTCGATGTGGTGTACCCGGACACTGTCATCTGCTGCCACCTCCTCGAGGGCCTCACACCTGCCTTCGACGCTCACAAGCTTGCCTACATGCAGCTTCTCTCCAAGCACCATACCCCTGCTGAAGTCGCTCAGTGGATTATCACCACCGAAGCCGAGATCCTTCGCCACTCTACCTCCACAGTCGCAGTAGCTCAGCCGCGCAGCAGCAGGGGTGGGCGTGGCGGTGGGCGTGGGGGTGGGCGTGGTGGTGGGCGTGGGGGTGGACGAGGCGGATCACCGGGTCGCGGTGGCAGTGGTAGCGGTGGTGCGGGTTGCGGTGCGGCAGCTGCCTTTCCTCTCTGTCAGTACCGGCCTCGCTACGGTCCCACTCAGGGACAGCGCTGCGGCCAAACCACTCATGCCACAGAAACATGCTTTAAGGCACTCAGTGATGAGTGGTTTGCCAGTGGCAACACCGGCACCCCTCCTCGCTGGTCTGCCCTCAACCCACGCCCCACTCCCCTTGAAGTCCGTTCCTCTCCCCTCTATGAGCCTTCCTCCTCCACCCAGGCCCACCAGGCCCTTGCCCCTCCCAAGCAGCAGCAGCAGCAGCTTGGGAGTCAGCAGCAGGGGTTACAGCAGTATGGGCAGCAGCTTCTCCTTTCTCAACTCCAGCAGCAGCTCCAGCATCTCCAGCAGCAGCTCGACCTACAGCCGCAGCTGCCCCTCCTCCCTCCTCCTTCCGTTTCCCACAGCAGCCCTTTCCTACCTGGACTGCCGGGAGTGCTGCCTCCGCAACCCATCTCTCGGGTGCATCTCCAGCGCCGTCTGCAGGTGGCAGTGTGACCGCTTTCCCCTCTTCTGGTTTTGTCGGTTTGCTAGGTCAACCAGAATCTGTTGCATCTCCCATGTACCCTTCCTCTGTTAATGAAATTTCGTTCCAGTACTCTGCCTCACCCTCCTCCACCCTTGACTTCGTCCTGGACAGTGGAGCCACTGACACTGTCCTTCGTGATGCTGGTACACTGCGCCCTCTCCCCACACCCACCTCCCTCCTCGGTGCTGATAGCAGTTTTTCTATCCCCTGTCACAACACTTCCACCCTTGCCTGTCCTCTCTTTCCCTCAGGTACTGTCACCGGTCTCCACATTCCCTCCCTACGCACTAACCTCCTCTCCCAAAGGTCCCTCCAACAAGCCAATATCACCACTGTCTTCCCAGGTGGTGCTAACTACTGTGCCCTTTACAATACTGCTACAGGTCGCCTTCTCTCTCGCATTCCCTTCTGTCCTCGTTCCCGTTTGTACACCCTTCGGATTCCCCGCCCCCCCACCTGCCAAGTCGCCTCTCCCTCTCTCCTCCCTCCCCCTCCCCTCCCTCCCTCTAACCCACCCTTCCCTCCCCGCCCCCCTGACTCTGACTGTTCCTGTCGCTCCCTCTCCCACCCTACCATCCTCCTCCATCACAGGCTAGGTCACCCTAACTTCGCTACTCTGCGCTCCTCTGTCTCCTACGGTCTCCTCCACGGTCTCCCCTCCTCCCTCCCTCCCCTCCCCAAATCCCCTGCCCCCCCCTGCACTGTCTGCGTTCAGAGCAAGCTCAAGCAGCAGCCGCACCGGAGCTCCCCCTCCACTGCTGCACAGCCACTTGACCTTGTTCACATGGACCTCTGGGGCCCTAATCCCTCTCCCACTCGCCAGGGTCATCGCTACCTTCTCGTGCTCGTTGATGATCACAGTCGGTACTCGTCCGTCTCTCTCCTTCGGACGAAGGCGGACGCCCCGGCTGCGATCATCGCCTGGCTCGAGTGGGCAAACACCCATTTTGGGCGCCCTGTTCGCCGCCTTCACTCTGATGGTGGTGGTGAGTTCCTTAACAACCAAGTCTCCTCCTATTGTCAGTCTCGTGGCATTCTTCAGACTTACACCCTCCCTCACTCCTCACAGCAGAACGGTGTGGCTGAGAGTCGTGTTCGAGAGATCACCAAAACAGCCCGGTGTCTTCTTGTTCACGCCTCCTACCCCCCTTTCTCTGTGGGGCTACGCCCTCCTTCATGCCGCCCTTCTTATTAACCTTTACCCTCACCCCCTTCTCCCTTCCACCACCCCCACTGAGCTGTGGACAAAGGACAAGCCTGATGTCTCATCTCTTCGTGTCTGGGGCTCAAAGGCATATGTCCTTATTCATCCATCTGACCGCTCCCGCTCCATGGGAAAACTTGCCCCTCGCGCCCTTCCCTGCATCTTCCTTGGTCATAACCCTACCTCACCTGACTACCTTTTCCTCCATCCCCCCTCAGGTCGTCTAGTCCGCAGTAGGGATGTGGTCTTTGATGAGTCCACTCCCTACTACTCCTCTCCCCCATCCACTGACCCACTCCCCCCTCTCACCCGTCCCCTTGTCTCGTCTGACACCACCCCTCCCCCATTACTCCCTCCTCCCCCCATCCTCCCGCCCCCCCCCCCCTCCGTCGTCCCCGTCCCACGGTGCCCCTCCCTCGTCTGGTGATATCTTTGACCCGGAACCTCTGTCCTCTCCGGTCTCCCCCACACATTCCTCTCCCAGTGCCCCTCCCCCCCTCCTCTCCCCTCCCTCGCCACCGACCCGTCCTTCCCCTCCTCCCCGCACCGTACTTACCCGGTAACCCCATACCAGGTCACGTGACGGTATCCTTGGTGCACCGCCCCCTGTTACCCTCTCTTCCTCTACCCTCCCCCCTCTCTTCCCTCTCCTTCACCACTTCTTCCAGGCTGTTTTGCATCAACCTCCTCCTGCAGCAGCCCCCTCTGCCTCCTCTCCCTCACCAGCAGCAGCGTCCGCAACGGCACCTGCAGCTGCACCAGCAGCAGGACCAGCAGCAGGACCAGCAGCGGCACCAGCAGCAGGACCAGCAGCAGGACCAGCAGCGGCACCAGCAGCAGGACCAGCAGTGGCACCAGCAACGGCACCAGCAACGGCACCAGCAGCGGCACCAGCAGCGGCACCAGCATCGGCACCAGCAGCGGCACCAGCAGCAGCACCAGCAGCCATCCCCGCCTTCCACACCTCCCTCTCTGAGGACTCCCATGAAGAGTTCCTTGACCTCCACCTTTGTAACCCCTCGCTTCTACCCATCACATTCGACCTCTCCGGCACACCCGTCTTCGCCTTCTCCTCTGCTCCCTCCGTTTTCATCCCTACCACGTATGCGGAGGCAATGGCTTGCCCCGACGCCCCTCTTTGGCTCGCCGCCATCATCAAGGAGCTGGAGGCCTTTATCGCCAACTCCTCCTTCGTTGATGTGCCTCGCCCTCCCGCCTCTACGAACGTGGTGAAGGGGAAGTGGGTGTTTCGCGTCAAGCAGCTGCCAGGGGAGCCGCCCGTCTATAAGGCTCGTTACTGTGCCAAGGGCTTCACGCAGCGGTATGCTGTTGACTTCTTCGATACTTTCTCCCCTACCGCCAAACCTGCTACCGTTCGAGCCGTGCTCGACCTCGCCGCTCGCCTAAATATGGAGATCCAGTCGATGGACGTTTCTAACGCCTTTCTGCAAAGCGTCCTCCGCGAGCTAATCTACATGGAGCGTCCAGCCGGCTTTCACCTTCCCTTCCCAGCTAACTCTGTCTGGCAGCTGCGTTGACTTGTGTATGGGCTCCGACAGACCCCTAGGGAGTGGCATGCTAAGCTTGCCGCCACCCTTGCTGAACTTGGGTTTCGCACCTCCCGCTCCGACGCCAGCCTCTTCCTCCGCGCCTCCCCCTCCCCCTTCTACATCCTTGTGTATGTCGATGACATGATTCTGCTCACAGCCGACCTTGCTGAGCTGGAGAGTGTTAAGGCTGAGTTGGGTAGTCGTCTCAAGTGCAAGGACTTGGGAGAGCTGCAGCATTACCTGGGCATGACCATCACCCGCGATCGCTCCGCCCGCACCATCTCTCTCTCTCCCAGGGTCATTACTTGCAGCAGGTCTTGGAGCGGTTTGACATGGCCCGAGGCGGTGCCCAACATACTCCTCTTTCTGTCGGGCACCACCTCTCTCCACCCACCTCCCCCTCAACCTCCTCCCATCCTTATCCCGAGCTCGTCGGCTCCCTCATGTACGCCATGGTCTCCATTCGCCCTGACCTTGCCTACCCCATCAGCGTCCTCGCTCGTTTTGTTGGCGCAGGCAACCATACGGAAGAGCACTGGCAGGCCGCCAAACGTGTCCTCCGGTACCTTCGTGGCACCAAGGACTATGTCCTTACCCTTGGCGGCCCCTCCCCACCTCTCCTCAGCGGCTACAGTGACTCCTCCTGGGCTGATTCTCGGCCGGATCGTCGCTCCTCACAGGGCTATGGCTTCTCTCTTGGCAGCGGCCTTATCAGCTGGCGCTCCACCCGCTCCTCGGCTATCGCCCTCTCCTCCTGCGAGGCGGAGTTGTATGCCGCTACCATGGCTGCGCAAGAGGCCCGCTGGCTCACCTTCCTTCTTGAGGAACTTGGTGCCCCCCAGCGCTGTCCCACCATGTGGTGTGACAATGCCAGTACTATTCACCTCACTAAGGATGCTGTGTTTCACGGGCGCTCCAAGCACATTGAGCTCCGTCATTTCTTCATTCGCGATCTTGTTCAGGCGGGGCACCTTCGGCTCGACAAGATTGACTCGGCGACCAACCTTGCCGACATCTTCACAAAAGCTCTTCCTCATGCGGCTCACTCTTCACTACTTCATCTCCTTGGCCTCACTCCTCCTAAGTCGTCTCCTGCCTCTTGATTCTAGTCTTCTAGCCTTATGCATGTTGGGGGGTTGTGTTGTAATTTCATATCTTAAACAACATACATAGGCTAGAATTAGATGTGTAGCACATTTATAAATTGGGGGGTTGTTTAGTGTACCCTCCAACCACATTTTGTGGTTGGTTGGGATTGGTCCTTAACTCAACCAATCCCAACCAACACACATTTGTGGTTGCTTGGGCCACAAGTTAGCTCACCCATTGGTCAACATATTGGCCAATCGGGTAAGCTTCCCTCTCATCTCTCTCTTGCTCATTGTTTGTACTAAAAGGCCTCTTGGCTCATTATTCAATTGATCAATTCTCTCCTTCAACATCTGCAGCTGCATCTTAAACTGTCTGCCCAATCGTACAGGTTTACCAAACACAAAACACCACTAGAATGCCAAGCAGAGTAGAGCAGGGTATATGGTTATATTCACTCTGGTGGTTGAGTTTCACATTGTTGGATGATTCCTGAACGTGCCAGACTGCTATCAGCAGGGCATCGCTCTACCTGCCCCATCCGCCAAACCCTTTCCCTCCCCCACCCCACCCCAACGCCGTCAGGTTCAACGACCGGCGCAGCAACGATGAGAGCCAGAGCGTGACGTAATTATACCCGTGGCAGCACCACAGACATTCCTTCCCTGCACCATCCATCAATCTTCCCTGCTATTTCTGACAGGTTCAACAACCGGCGCAACAACGATGAGAGCCAGAGCGTGGCGGAGTATTTCGAGCGGCAGCACTTCAGACATTCCCTCCCTGCACCATCCATCAATCTCCCCTGCTAACACTGCCCTCCTCTCTTCCCTGCTATTTCTGACAGGTTCAACAACCGGCGCAACAACGATGAGAGCCAGAGCGTGGAAGAGTATTACCAGCGGCAGCACGGCATCACCCTGCGCTTCCCCCACCTGCCCTGCATCTCTGCGTCCAACCGGCCAAACAGGCCTTGCTGGGTGCCCCTGGAGGTGAGACACAGAGTGTGGCAGAGTGAGTCAGATTGTGGCAAAGCAGAGGGGGGCTGAGCTGGGCAGAGGAGCAGGGTGGGGCAGATTGGGGAAGGCTTGCTTAAATCATCGAATCATGTCACGTCTATCTCACAGCTTTGATGCACCTCAGATGATCCTGCTCTGCTGATAATCTGCGGCACATGTGTAGACACATGCGCTCCGCTGATTTGTCTTATCACCTCCCCACCAGTCAGCACCCACCCATCAGCTGCCCCAGCTGACACCTGTGTATGATCTATTCTGCATACTTGACTGTGCATCATACGTGCGTGCGTGCGCGCCTCCCACCCGCTGTGGAGTGTGGACGCACAGAGGTACCTGCGCCGGCTGACACCTGTAACCCATTAATCTATAATGTCTGTCTCTGTTTCATACATCTGTCTGTGTGTGTCTCTCCCCCTCTCCCTCCTCTCCCACCCACCACCTGTGCAGTGTGGTGGACGCACAGAGGTACCTGCGCCAGCTGACACCTGTGTGTGATCCATTCAGCATAATTGTATGCGCATCATTCCTCTGTGTGTGTGTGTGCCTCTCTCTCACCTTCTCTCCCACCCACCACCTGTGCAGTGTGGTGGATGCACAGAGGTACCTGTGCCAGCTGATACCGCAGCCGGTGGCGGCCATTGGAGCCAGCTGATACCGCAACCTATCTCTCTCCCTCTCCCTGTGTGTGTGTCTCTCCCCCCACCAGCTCTGCAGCGTGGTGGACGCACAGAGGTACCTGCGCCAGCTGACGCCCCAGCAGGTGGCAGCCATCGGCAATCTGCGCCTCAAGCCCGACAAGCGCCGCACCGACATTGCCAACGTGGGTGTCAGCCTGCCCCTTTGCTCCTTGCCCCGTGCTCCTTGCCGCTTGTCTCTCGGCCTGCCTCTCTCTGCGCCTCAACCCCGACAAGCGCCGTGTCGACATCACCAATGTGGGTGTCAGCCAGCCTGCCCCTTTGCCCCTTCCCCGTTGCTTCCTGCCGCTCTTCCCCTTGAGTCTTTTTCTTTCTGCCCCGTGCTGACCCGACAAACGCGGCAATGACATTGCCAACGTGGGTGCCTGCCAAGGAAACCCCATCACTCTCTGCTTGCTCCTTGCCGCTTGTCTCTCTCGCCCTGCCTTTCTCTGCGCCTCAAACCCAACAAGCGTCGCAACGACATTGCCAACGTGGGTGTCTGATTTCTCCCAAACCTCCTGACGCCTTGCCACGTTACTCTCAGCCTGCCTGCCCCTTTGCCTCTTGCTGCTGCTCTGCCCCTTAGCACTTGCCGTTCTGCTCCTTGCCTCTTTTCTCTCTGCCCTGTGCCGCTCTGTGCTTCGAACCCGACAAGTGCTGCAGCGAGATCACCATTGTGGGTGGGTGTTACACATCGCCACAGCACACTTGTCCAGCAAACAAACCTCATGGGTGTCCCTCGCCTTTGCCCCATGACATGGGGCCCATGTGCCTTAGTCTTTCTCCCCCCCCACCTGTTGAATGGTACCCCTCTTACTTATGTTCTTGCATGGCTGGTCAGGCCATGCCACGGCATGTTGACATGGCATTACATGGCATGGTATGGTTACCTGGCATGCATGGCGTGGCATGATGACATAGCGTGATTGCATTGCATGGTGACATTTTATGGTATGGAAATATGGTATGGTTTGGTGATATGGCATGGCGTGACATGGCATATCTCAGGCGGTGGGAGCAGCGGGGCTCGCGAACAACCCTCTCTTGGAGGCCTTTGGAATGCGCATCCAGCCCAACATGATGCAGGCGGATGGCCGCCAGCTAGAGCCTCCCGTTGTAAGCCTGGTGCTGGTGGTGAGATTGTGGTATTGTTGTAAGCACAGTGGTGGTGGTGGTGGTGGTGGTGGTGGTGGGAGGTGGTGGGGGCAGCGGGTCTGGCAAACAACCCTCTGCTGGAGGCGTTTGGTATGCGCATCCAGCCCAACATGATGCAGGCTTATGGCCGCCAGCTGGAGCCTCCCGTTGTAAGCATGCTCGTAGTGGTGAGATGGTGGTGAGATGGTGGCGAGATGGTGGTGGGGACATGGTGATTGTGACATGGTGATTGTGACATGGTGATTGTGACATGGTGATTGTGACATGGTGATTGTGACATGGTGATTTTGACATGGTGATTGTGACATGGTGGTGGGGACATGTTGATTGTGACATGGTGGTGGGGACATGTTGATGGGAACATGACATTAGATTGGATTGGCGTTCACGTTTCTGCAGCTCCACATGCGATGAGACGATTTCTTAGCCGCGTCAAGAATCTTGTCCGTGCATGCGGTCATGTCCGACCCAACTGACTGCTCCTCTTTTGGTCTCTCCCTGCTGCTGCTGTGGCCACTGCAGCTGCAGTTCGGCGAGAGCGGCACCATGCAGCCTCGGTATGTTGTGTTATTAATCAACTCAACCTCTTCCACTGCACGTTTGGTCCCCCTTTGCTCCCGCTGTTCATATCCCTGCTCTCGCTCTTCCCATGCAGCTGCAGTTCAGCAAGAAGGGCTCCATGCAGCCTCGCGACGTTGCGCTACTAATCAAATCCCGCTGCTCGTTTTCTTGTTTGCTCGTTTGGTCTGCTCTCCCTGCCCTGCTCTCGTTGATCCCACTGCTGCAGCTGCAGTTTGGTGAGAAGGGCACCTTGCAACCTCGCGACGGGCAGTGGAACATGAACGACAAGGTGAGGGGCAGTACTGGGGGCGTGAACCATCAGGTTCGGGTTGTTGTATTGTGAAAAAAAATGTGTGGGTGGGGCAGTGGATTATGAATGTCAATATGAGGGGCAGTGATGATGAATGAACCATCAGGTGGGTTCTCAGGGACAGTTAAACTCGCCATAAGGTCACCATGCGTACTCCATCCCCCCTCTCCCTCATTTTCTTCTTCATTTTTCCGCATCTTCCTCTTCCCTCCTGTCCTGTACGCCCCCCTCCCCTCTCCTATGCTGCACATAGTAGAGCCGTCCACCGAGCCAACCATCCCAGCGCATACTCCAAACATGTGCATTATCCCACCACCACTGCGTGCATGAAACACCCCTTGCAACACGTGCTGCTCAACCCTCAACCAACCCCTCTGTCCCCTCGTATCCCTTGCGCCCGTGCCGCATGTTTGCACCTGCCACCATCAGCACAACCCCTCCTTTCCCGCGTGTCCCCTGCGCCCGTGCCGCATGCATCGCATGTTTGCACCCGCCACCATCAGCACAACCCCTCCTTCCCCTCCTTTCCCGCGTGTCCCTTGCGCCCGTGCCGCATGCATCGCATGTTTGCACCCGCCACCATCAGCACAACCCCTCCTTCCCCTCCTTTCCCGCGTGTCCCTTGCGCCTGTGCCGCATGCATCGCATGTTTGCACCCGCCACCATCAGCACAACCCCTCCTTCCCCTCCTTTCCCGCGTGTCCCTTGCGCCCGTGCCGCATGCATCGCATGTTTGCACCCGCCACCATCAGCACAACCCCTCCTTCCCCTCCTTTCCCGCGTGTCCCTTGCGCCCGTGCCGCATGCATCGCATGTTTGCACCCGCCACCATCAGCACAACCCCTCCTTCCCCTCCTTTCCCGCGTGTCCCTTGCGCCCGTGCCGCATGCATCGCATGTTTGCACCCGCCACCATCAGCACAACCCCTCCTTCCCCTCCTTTCCCTCGCATCCCTTGCGCCCGTGCCACATGCACCGCATGATTGCAATTGCACCTGCGAAAATCGACACTTGGCGGGGGTGTGTTTCGACGATCGCGTGAGAGACCCCTTGCAACGAATGCTGCTCACTCAACCCTCAACACACCCCTCCATCCCTTCGTGTTCTCTCTCTCTCTCTCTCTCTCTCTCTCTCTCTCTCTCTCTCTCTCTCTCTCTCTCTCTCTCTCTCTCTCTCTCTCTCTCTCTCTCTCTCTCACTCGCCCGTGCCATGTGCAGCGCATGTTTGCACCAGCCAAAATCGGAACGTGGGCAGTGGTGTGTTTCGACCACCGTGTGAGGGACCCCATGCAGGTGGCGACTGCCCTCAAGGAGTGCTGTGCGCGCAAGGGGCTGGTGAGTGTGGAGCCATTCCATCACCGCAGAATGCCTGACAAGTGTGTTTATTGAGCCTAGCCTTGGCACTAGTGTGCTTCGATCGACCACCGTGTGAGGGACCCCATGCAGGTGGCGACTGCCCTCAAGGAGTGCCGTGCGCGCAAGGGGCTGGTGAGTGCGGTTGGTGAGTGTGAAGCCATTCAGTTGCTGCAGAATGCCTAGCAAGTGTGCCCATCCTAGCCTAGCCTAGCCACCAGTGTGTTTCGACCACTGCGTGAGACACCCCATGCAGTTGATTATTGCCCTCAAGACTGCCGTGCAGGCAAGGGGCTGGTGAGTGCGGATCGGATAGGCGGATTGCGTTTACTCTTCCCCTGCTATTTTCCCACCCCCTTGATATTTACGCTTTTAGAGAGTTCAGTCAGTTTTTTTTTCATCTCTCGCTTGTACGCTCTTCTGCATTCACAAGGAGCTGGTGAGTGCTCAAACCCTCCATTCCCTCTTGTCCTCCTCAATTCAGTTCGTGCGGTGGTGTGCTGCATCAGAGAGTGGGTGACTGGCTTTTTTGTTGACACTCCATGCCATGCCATCCTCATTGACTGCAGTGGCATGCATACTTCGTGCTGCATGCGAAAGTGGACATCAAAGCATCCCTATAAACATGCCCTTTCAGACGATCAACACCCCCCCAAAGGTGAGACATACGAGTCTATATCGAGGCACCACATACACATACTCAAGCCACCTTCCACTTCCACCTCACTGCACCTCACTAAACCCCATCCCCCTCTCAGGTGATCGAGAGCCGGCCAGAGGTGATTGTGGAGGACACGCGCAGAGAGGCGCGTGAGAAGCTGGTGGAGCGGGTGATCGAGCGCCTGAAGAACTTAAAGCCCGCTCTCACTCTCCTGTTCCCTCTCAGGTGATCGAGAGCCGCCCAGAGGTGATTGGGGAGGACACGCGCAGAGAGCCACCCCTGGCGCTGATGGAGAGCGGGTGATCGAGCGCTTGAAGATCTTAAAGCCCGATGTCATTCCCCCATTGCCTCTCAGGTGATCGAGAGCCGCCCAGAGGTGATTGTGGAGGACACGCGCAGAGAGACGCCTGAGAAGCTGGTGGAGCGGGTGATCGAGCGCCTGAAGCAATTCAAGCCTGCTTTTGTTCTCTGGATCCTCGAAGTCCGGAAGACCAGCCCGCTGTACGGTAGGTTTGGTGGGGATGCCAGTAGTTGTGCTCTCCTCCCCCCCTCCCGCCCCGCTCACCTCCTCGTCACCTCCTCTTCACCTTATCCTCACATCCAAGAGTTTCAAGCCTGCTTTTGTCCTCTGGATCCTGGAAGTTCGGAAGACCAGCCCGCTGTATGGTACGTGGGGTGGGGATGCCAGTTGTTGTGCTCTCCTTCCCCCCTCACCTCCTCCCCACATCCTCCAAGAGATTTAAGCTCGATTTCATTCTCTGATCCTAGAAGTCTAAATGGAGAGAGCGCTGTATCCATGCCAATCAATGTGTGGCACCACCACTGCCTCCACTCCACCCACTCCCCCAAACCTTTCACCACCACTTTATCTCTCGCAATACCTATTTAGAAGCTGTGCATGTGCATTGGAGCTCCTGGGGTGTGTGGCATTCCATGAGGCACGTGAATGGGCACTATGTGCATCGTGCAGGCGGGCACAGGCAGCCTAAACGGTTCTGTTGGCTTCCTGATTCTTTTCTCCTCATACCCGGAAGTGCCCATCCATAGAAGCGCCACGCAACGTGTCGTGCTTCAACGAACAGTACCTCTCTCAACCTCTCTCTACCATGCGGTGGGCTCCTCCTCCCCCTCCCCTGCAGCGCCCATCAAGAAGCTGTGTGACACAGTCATAGGCGTGCCCACGCAGTGCATCGTACAGCCGCCAGGCAAGGGCTTTAACGACCAGTACCTCACCAACGTGGCTCTCAAGATGAACATGAAGGTGGGGGGATTATGATGGGCCTTGAAGTGCGCACATGGGCTTTAAGGTGGGGACATGTGCTTTGAAGTGGGCACATGGGCCTTGAAGTGGGCACATGGGCATTCAGGCTTGTGCATGGGGTTTATGGTGAGAGCGAGGGGCATGTGGTGAAGATGGGGTGGGGTCCGTGGGGACATAGGCTTTAAGTTTGTTGACCACCTCAGTGAGAAGCCTTCGGCTCTGGTGTCTCTCGTATATCTTGCAACTCTCTCAATCCCCATGCATCCCATCTTATCAACCCACTATCAGATGAGGGGAGTGAACTGGGTGCTGACAGACACCATCAGGCGCTCCATGCGCCCCCTCAATGAGATGCCCACCATGGTATTCGGCCTCGACGTCTCCCACGGTGCTCCGGGCAGCCACGCTCCGTCTGTCGCTGCTGTGAGTGCATAAATGAATGCATCTCACATGCACCTATCATCAGTAATCGCTTCTGTGAGTGCACAGGCATGCGTGCGTGCATGCATCTTTCATTAGCGCATCGGTCATCTGCACCAGCACTCCGGCCTCCACGGTGCTCCGGGCAGCCGCACTCCCTTTGTCGCTGCTGTGAGTGCATGCATCGATCGTGTCGTTGAGAGGGTTCGATATCGAACTGGCAGGCCAAGAAAAAGTTCAGTTCAGTTTGATGCGAACTGAACTGCATCAAACCTAAGTGGACATGGACGCGTCCAGCGTCCCATACGCTAGCGTATATACGCTGGACGCTCTGATGTCGACGCTAGATATACACTTGGCTCGGGCATGCAAAAATATTTCCCGAGCAGGACGAACAAAAAGGGGGGGAGAGGGCGAAGAGGAGGTGGCGGAATACAAAAACAATCGGAATTCTCCAAATAAATCATTTGTGAGCTCCCACACACAACCAAGCATGCCAAACACACACTCGAACCCATCTACGAATACTCATCAGCAAGCACCCGATTATCTTCCTCCTCCCCTTCATCCTCGCCCTCCTCTGGGACGATGCAATCCGCACATGGCGTGCGTTTCAAAGTCTCTTTATCACGTCGCCTAGGAGTCCCTATGGCGGCTGCACTGCCGGGAGGGGCTCTTCGATCTCCATGAGTACCACCTCCGCCTAGTGGAATGCTCTATTATCTGCGACGGTATGAACACTGAGACACAACTTGTTGAGAGCACTAAAGCACACCGTCGCAGAGATTTTCAGTGCATGCTGGAGCTTATGAATGATGACGTGGACTATCGAGCCCTCGCGCAACTACTCCAGTGGTGTCCAGGCGTGATAAGCGTGTGGCGAGTAGCAGAGGCTGAGCAGGAGCATGACAGCGATAAGCCACACATGCGATTGCATGATGGGCGATTCTTTTATGGCCTCGAGTTTGAAAGTGAGGGCCTGACCACGTGGTGCCCCTGTCACCCACACGAACTGGACTACGCCGATTATTTGGCTGTTTGACAAGGACTTCCATAAAGTCTTTCCCAACATGAAGTCCTTGTCGAACAGCCAGATGATCGTCGTAGTCCAGTTCGTGTGGGTGACAGGGGCACCACAAGGGCAGACCCTCACTGTCAAATTCGAAGCCATAAAAAATGCCTACCAGACTATCTCTGGTTAGGAGATGAGCCTGCCAGAGATGGTCGATCTACTTACGAAGGTGTTGAAATATTGGGTTTTCTAGATTAGAAGGGTTGAAATGCGGTGGCAACTGAAATTGCAATGACGAATTGTTGGATCTGGTTCGGTTTTGGTGCCACTGAACCAGATCCACATCAAAATTACATTCGCTCTGAAATCGCGAATGTACATTTCGTCGCGCATTTTTTTTCCATCGGGCTGCCCGAAAACTTGGGGCGAGCGTCTAGCGACCAGGGAGCGTCCAGCGCCCAGCGTACGGACGCTAGCATATATAGGCTGGACGCTCGCCGTCCAGAGCGTATATGTCCACTTAGCATCAAACCAAACCACGGTTCGATTTTTTCGCTCAACCTACGCCATACTGCACATCCATTCCTCCCACACCCCTCCGCAACCCGACTTCACAAATTCCTTCAACCCCTTTGTCTTCCCCGTACCCCCACCAGGTGGTTGCCTCTATGGACCCCAATGCCAGCAAGTACGCGGTGCGGAGGCGCGCACAGCACAGGAGGCAGGAGACAATTCTCGGCCTCTTCGATGCAGAAAGTGACACTGGCGGCATGCTCTGGTGCGTAGCATGTTGTGGTTGTTTTTTTGGAAGGTTATTGTGGTCACGGGTTTGTTTGCTCGTTGTTTTGTGCTTTAAATCAGATATTTTATTGTTTACTTGCTATTTTCTTTCCGTTACCTTAACTTGAGCATTCTTGCATCCCTCCCTCCTCTTCCCCTCCTCCTGCCCTCCTCTTGCCCTCCTCCCGCCCTTTTTTCTTGTACTCTCTTCTTCGCTCCCTCCCCTCCCCCTCCTTCCTCCTTTTTACCCTTCTCTCATCCTTCGCGGCCCCTGTTCCCCCCCTGTTCGCGCTCCTCTCGCCCCCACATCCTGCTCTCTTTCTCTCCGTGTATCCAACACGGTGCCGTGCAGTGAGCTGATGAACGATTCTTTCCCCCCCCTGCTCTCGCCCCCATATCCTGCTCCCTTTCTCTTTCTGTATCCAACACGGTGCGGTGCGGTGCAGTGAGCTGATGAATGATTTCGGCAATGCCAACAAGATGGGACCCAAGCGCATCATCGTGTTCCGGTGAGCACCTTTGAGCAGGGCAGGCTGGGGATGTGCGTGTTTGAGGCGCCTCAAGATCTGGCAATGCAAACAGGTCGGGGTTTAGGAGCATAATGATTTTGTACCGGTGAGCTCGCACGAGCAGGGCTGGCTGGGGATTTGCGTACAAGTGATTGCTGCTGCTGCTGCATGCATTGATATGGCTGGAGGAATGAACAATCTGATGTATGATGGCTGGAGGAATGAACAATCTGATGTATGATGGCTGGAGGAATGAACAATCTGATGTATGATGGCTGGAGGAATGAACAATCTGATGTATGCACATGTACGAATTGGCTATATAGTCAATTCAAAAGTCCAGGTGCCGGCTTGCCAGCTAGTTGCAAATTCGGAATTGCCCACATACTGAGCTTCTTCCTATTCTCCTGTCGCAACTTCTCTCCTCTGCTCCTTGTTCCCTCACTTCGCGTGCACGTGAGTCTCCTACGCCTGTGCCTCTCTGGTGCTTGCTTTCCGAGTCGACTCAACAGTCAAAATGTGGTTCCTGCATCTCTGCTTCTCGCATGCCTCCTCTCCTCTCTTGCCTCCTTTCGTCACAGGGACGGCATCAGCGAGACGCAATTTCCAACAGTGGGGGCAACAGAGCTGCAGGCATTCCGCAAGGTGAGACGGGATGCAGATGGGTGGATGGAAGGAGGGTGAGAGAGGGATGCAGATGGGTGGATGAAGGGAGGGTGAGGGAGGGACGAGGATGGGTGGATGGAAGGAGGGTGAGAGAGGGATGCAGATGGGTGGATGGAAGGAGGGTGAGAGAGGGATGCAGATGGGTGGATGAAGGGAGGGTGAGGGAGGGACGAGGATGGGTGGATGGAAGGAGGGTGAGAGAGGGATGCAGATGGGTGGATGGAAGGAGGGTGAGAGAGGGATGCAGATGGGTGGATGAAGGGAGGGTGAGGGAGGGACGAGGATGGGTGGATGGAAGGAGGGTGAGAGAGGGATGCAGATGGGTGGATGGAAGGAGGGTGAGAGAGGGATGCAGATGGGTGGATGAAGGGAGGGTGAGGGAGGGACGAGGATGGGTGGATGGAAGGAGGGTGAGAGAGGGATGCAGATGGGTGGATGGAAGGAGGGTGAGAGAGGGATGCAGATGGGTGGATGAAGGGAGGGTGAGGGAGGGACGAGGATGGGTGGATGGAAGGAGGGTGAGAGAGGGATGCAGATGGGTGGATGGAAGGAGGGTGAGAGAGGGATGCAGATGGGTGGATGAAGGGAGGGTGAGGGAGGGACGAGGATGGGTGGATGGAAGGAGGGTGAGAGAGGGATGCAGATGGGTGGATGGAAGGAGGGTGAGAGAGGGATGCAGATGGGTGGATGAAGGGAGGGTGAGGGAGGGACGAGGATGGGTGGATGGAAGGAGGGTGAGAGAGGGATGCAGATGGGTGGATGGAAGGAGGGTGAGAGAGGGATGCAGATGGGTGGATGAAGGGAGGGTGAGGGAGGGACGAGGATGGGTGGATGGAAGGAGGGTGAGAGAGGGATGCAGATGGGTGGATGGAAGGAGGGTGAGAGAGGGATGCAGATGGGTGGATGAAGGGAGGGTGAGGGAGGGACGAGGATGGGTGGATGGAAGGAGGGTGAGAGAGGGATGCAGATGGGTGGATGGAAGGAGGGTGAGAGAGGGATGCAGATGGGTGGATGAAGGGAGGGTGAGGGAGGGACGAGGATGGGTGGATGGAAGGAGGGTGAGAGAGGGATGCAGATGGGTGGATGGAAGGAGGGTGAGAGAGGGATGCAGATGGGTGGATGAAGGGAGGGTGAGGGAGGGACGAGGATGGGTGGATGGAAGGAGGGTGAGAGAGGGATGCAGATGGGTGGATGGAAGGAGGGTGAGAGAGGGATGCAGATGGGTGGATGAAGGGAGGGTGAGGGAGGGACGAGGATGGGTGGATGGAAGGAGGGTGAGAGAGGGATGCAGATGGGTGGATGGAAGGAGGGTGAGAGAGGGATGCAGATGGGTGGATGAAGGGAGGGTGAGGGAGGGACGAGGATGGGTGGATGGAAGGAGGGTGAGAGAGGGATGCAGATGGGTGGATGGAAGGAGGGTGAGAGAGGGATGCAGATGGGTGGATGAAGGGAGGGTGAGGGAGGGACGAGGATGGGTGGATGGAAGGAGGGTGAGAGAGGGATGCAGATGGGTGGATGGAAGGAGGGTGAGAGAGGGATGCAGATGGGTGGATGAAGGGAGGGTGAGGGAGGGACGAGGATGGGTGGATGGAAGGAGGGTGAGAGAGGGATGCAGATGGGTGGATGGAAGGAGGGTGAGAGAGGGATGCAGATGGGTGGATGAAGGGAGGGTGAGGGAGGGACGAGGATGGGTGGATGGAAGGAGGGTGAGAGAGGGATGCAGATGGGTGGATGGAAGGAGGGTGAGAGAGGGATGCAGATGGGTGGATGAAGGGAGGGTGAGGGAGGGACGAGGATGGGTGGATGGAAGGAGGGTGAGAGAGGGATGCAGATGGGTGGATGGAAGGAGGGTGAGAGAGGGATGCAGATGGGTGGATGAAGGGAGGGTGAGGGAGGGACGAGGATGGGTGGATGGAAGGAGGGTGAGAGAGGGATGCAGATGGGTGGATGGAAGGAGGGTGAGAGAGGGATGCAGATGGGTGGATGAAGGGAGGGTGAGGGAGGGACGAGGATGGGTGGATGGAAGGAGGGTGAGAGAGGGATGCAGATGGGTGGATGGAAGGAGGGTGAGAGAGGGATGCAGATGGGTGGATGAAGGGAGGGTGAGGGAGGGACGAGGATGGGTGGATGGAAGGAGGGTGAGAGAGGGATGCAGATGGGTGGATGGAAGGAGGGTGAGAGAGGGATGCAGATGGGTGGATGAAGGGAGGGTGAGGGAGGGACGAGGATGGGTGGATGGAAGGAGGGTGAGAGAGGGATGCAGATGGGTGGATGGAAGGAGGGTGAGAGAGGGATGCAGATGGGTGGATGAAGGGAGGGTGAGGGAGGGACGAGGATGGGTGGATGGAAGGAGGGTGAGAGAGGGATGCAGATGGGTGGATGGAAGGAGGGTGAGAGAGGGATGCAGATGGGTGGATGAAGGGAGGGTGAGGGAGGGACGCGGATGGGTGGATGGAAGGAGGGTGAGAGAGGGATGCAGATGGGTGGATGGAAGGAGGGTGAGAGAGGGATGCAGATGGGTGGATGAAGGGAGGGTGAGGGAGGGACGAGGATGGGTGGATGGAAGGAGGGTGAGAGAGGGATGCAGATGGGTGGATGGAAGGAGGGTGAGAGAGGGATGCAGATGGGTGGATGAAGGGAGGGTGAGGGAGGGACGAGGATGGGTGGATGGAAGGAGGGTGAGAGAGGGATGCAGATGGGTGGATGGAAGGAGGGTGAGAGAGGGATGCAGATGGGTGGATGAAGGGAGGGTGAGGGAGGGACGAGGATGGGTGGATGGAAGGAGGGTGAGAGAGGGATGCAGATGGGTGGATGGAAGGAGGGTGAGAGAGGGATGCAGATGGGTGGATGAAGGGAGGGTGAGGGAGGGACGAGGATGGGTGGATGGAAGGAGGGTGAGAGAGGGATGCAGATGGGTGGATGGAAGGAGGGTGAGAGAGGGATGCAGATGGGTGGATGAAGGGAGGGTGAGGGAGGGACGAGGATGGGTGGATGGAAGGAGGGTGAGAGAGGGATGCAGATGGGTGGATGGAAGGAGGGTGAGAGAGGGATGCAGATGGGTGGATGAAGGGAGGGTGAGGGAGGGACGAGGATGGGTGGATGGAAGGAGGGTGAGAGAGGGATGCAGATGGGTGGATGGAAGGAGGGTGAGAGAGGGATGCAGATGGGTGGATGAAGGGAGGGTGAGGGAGGGACGAGGATGGGTGGATGGAAGGAGGGTGAGAGAGGGATGCAGATGGGTGGATGGAAGGAGGGTGAGAGAGGGATGCAGATGGGTGGATGAAGGGAGGGTGAGGGAGGGACGAGGATGGGTGGATGGAAGGAGGGTGAGAGAGGGATGCAGATGGGTGGATGGAAGGAGGGTGAGAGAGGGATGCAGATGGGTGGATGAAGGGAGGGTGAGGGAGGGACGAGGATGGGTGGATGGAAGGAGGGTGAGAGAGGGATGCAGATGGGTGGATGGAAGGAGGGTGAGAGAGGGATGCAGATGGGTGGATGAAGGGAGGGTGAGGGAGGGACGAGGATGGGTGGATGGAAGGAGGGTGAGAGAGGGATGCAGATGGGTGGATGGAAGGAGGGTGAGAGAGGGATGCAGATGGGTGGATGAAGGGAGGGTGAGGGAGGGACGCGGATGGGTGGATGGAAGGAGGGTGAGAGAGGGATGCAGATGGGTGGATGGAGGGAGGGTGAGGAAGGGACGCGGATGGGTGGATGAAGGGAGGGTGAGGGAGAGACGCGAATGGGTAAATGAACAGGTGATGGATGTGGGTGTAAGCGGCATGCACGCTGGTACAAACAGATTGCAGCAGTGGCAGGTGGCTGACAAGAGGCAGGAAGGTGGGTGGAAAGGGGGTGTTTTTTCTCCCTTCCCTTCCCCACCTCCCCACTTCACCCCTTCCTTCCTTTCCCTCATCCTTCCCTTCCCCCTTGTTTTTTTCCCCTCTTTCCTCCCTTCCCCTGCAGGCGTTCGAGTTGACGAGTAAGGTGGTGGGAATCCCCTCCTTCCGCCCCGCCATCACCTACATCGTGGCGCAGAAGCGCAACAACGTGCACTTCCTCCTCATTCCTCCCCTTCCCCTTCACCCTTCCCCATTCCCCGTTCTCCCTTCCCCCTTCCCCCTTCCCCTTTCCCCTTCCAACTCCCCTTTCCCCCTTCCCCCTTTTCTCCCTCTCCCAGGCGTTTGAGCTGTCGGGCAAGAAGGTGGGGATCCCCAACTTCCGCCCCGCCATCACATGCATCGTGGCGCAGAAGCACAACAACGTGCGCTTCCTCCTCGCCCCTCCCCCTCCCCCTTCCCGCTTCCCCTTCCCCCTCTCCCCATCCCTCTTCCCCCTTCCCCTTCTCCCTTCTCTCCCTTTCCCAGGCGTTCGAGTTGACGGGCAAGAAGGTGGGGGTCCCCAACTTCCGCCCCGCCATCACCTACATCGTCGCACAGAAGCGAAACAACGCGCGCTTCCTGCCGTCCCAGGGCGACCGCAATGTGCAGCCGGGGACCATCGTGGATAAGGATGTGACCCACCCTTTCTTCTTCGACTTTTACATGGTCTCGCACAAGGGGCTGCTGGTATGTATGCCGTGCAGGGAGGGCTCTCTGGTTTGGTATGAGGTGAAGCACAGAAGCGAAACAACGTGCGCTTCCTGCCCTCTTAGGGCAGCTACAACGTGCCGCCGGGGACCATCGTGGATAAGGATGTGACACACCCCTTTTTCTTCGACTTCTACATGGTCTCGCACAAGGGGCTGCTGGTATGTATGCCGTGCAGGGAGGGCTCTCTGGTTTGGTATGAGGTGAAGCACAGAAGCGAAACAACGTGCGCTTCCTGCCCTCTCAGGGCAGCTACAACGTGCTGCCGGGGACCATCGTGGATAAGGATGTGACACACCCCTTTTTCTTCGACTTCTACATGGTCTCGCACAAGGGGCTGCTGGTATGTATGCCATGCAGGGAGGGCTCTCTGGTTTGGTATGAGGTGAAGCACAGAAGCGAAACAACGTGCGCTTCCTGCCCTCTCAGGGCAGCTATAACGTGCTGCCGGGGACCATCGTGGATAAGGATGTGACGCACCCCTTTTTATTCCACTTCTACATGGTCTCGCACAAGGGCCTGCTGGTAAGTCCGTAGCACACGATACTCAATCATTGAAGCACCTCAGAAGGTGGGCGACTCTCTGCGCCTGCTTCCTGCTGTCCCATCCGTTTTGTCAGATGATGGTGAGAGCGAACTCCCGACGTTGCTCGAGGATGTCATTACTATGACCGTTCTGTCTGAAGTCCTTCCGGAATTAACCAGACATGAAAAGGGCGAGTCCAGGCTCGTGTGAAATTCGTGGTAGACAATATTTGACAAAAGCCAAGGAGTACGTTTTCCCTTAAATTTAGAGTTCCCCGCAAGACATGGGTTTTGAGAAAGTAGCAGTGGCACAAATGATTAATGACGTTCTCTTTTTGTGGCAGGATTTGCCCGCAAAGATTCGCAGCAAGATTGTGGAGAGGATTTCATATGAAGATATTCGAAACGGAAACTGGGAATGCTTTGCCTGTTCCGAGGTTTATTCCGATCTGGAAGACTTGATAAGGCGCGCCCGTCAGAATTTAAGGCTCGAGCAAAGGGTGGCGCACAGGGCGACCGAGCAGAACATCCTGATCGATGACGATGATCATTGCGGTGTTCTGCAAGCGTGCTCAGGATGTTCTGCTCAGTCGCCTTGTGCGCCACCCTCTGCTCGGGCCTCGAATACAGACGGGCGTGCCTTATCAAGTCTTCCAGATCGGAATAAACCTCGGAACAGGCAGAGCACTCCCAATTTCCATTTTTGGTATTTTCGTATGATCCCCTCTTCACGAGCTCGTTGCGAATCTTTGCGGGCAAGTCCCGCCAATGCAAAGAGAACGTCATTAATCATTAGTGCCACTGCTAACCTTGCAATACTCATGTCTTGCGAGGAACTCTAAATTCAAGGGAAAAGGTATTGCTTGTTTTTTGTCAACTACTGTCTTCCAGGATTTGCACACGAGCCTGAGCTCGCCCTTTTCGTGTATGGTTGACTCCGGAAGGACTTCAGACATAATGGATGTAGTAATGACATCCTCGGGCAACGTCGGGAGTTTTCTCTCACCATCACCTGAAAAAAACGGATGTCAAAATTCAAAGGGACCGAGACGTCCAGCCGAGGACCATTGTGGACCGCAAGGTGACGCACATCTTCTTCTTCGACTTCTACAGGGTTTCGCACAAGGGCCTGCTGGTATGTGTGTACACTGTGTCGTATGGCAATGTATGTTTGTGCTAGTTTTGAGACGTCTCAAAACTATATTACTTTCACGCGGATTTTATGCAGAGACAATGTATGTTTGCGCTACATGGTCTGGTATGTGAACCAAGGATCATCGTGGACCGCGATGTCACTCATCCCTTCTTCTTTGATTTCTAAGTGGTCTCGCTCGAGGGCCTGCTGGTATGTAAGACCTAAATTAGAGAGCACACTAGGGAGGGGAAACGTATTACATGTTTATACCCTGGCCCACCGGGGACCATCGTGGACAGGGATGTGAACCATCCTTACCTATTTGACGTCTATATGGTTTCACACAAGGGCCTCCGGGTATGTAGTGCACTATGAAGGGGAATCGTGTTGCGTATGTATGCCGAGGCTTGATGGAAACAGGCTTATACCCCCGTTCCTCTGTTTTTCCCCCAACGGGGCACGAGCAGGCCAGTGCACTACCACGTGCTGCATGATGAGAATGGGCCTACTCCGTTCCTTCTCACCTCAGCATTCATACACCAATCCCTCTATGTGACTGTCTTCCTCTCAACAGGGCACGAGTAGGCCAGTGCACTACCACGTGCTGCATGATGAGAATGGGTTCACTGCGGACGAGATTCAGCACCTCACGCACTCCCTCTGCTACAGGTGAGTCCCAGTGAGCATGACAATGAGCAGCGAGAATGAGCAGCGAGAATGAGTAGCTATTTGACTGGGTTCACAGCAGACGAGATTCAGCACCTCACGCACTCCCTCTGCTGCAGGTGAGCTCAGCATTCCACCTTTGGTGCTGGGCTTCAAATGTATGTAGTGCCGATCATGCTCGAAACACCAGAATTAGGACATTGAATGGTGTTGCACGTTAACTCCAGATGGTTATCACACGTTCTTGGTTATGTCAAAAGTGTGCTTGCTACTAACCAGCATTTTATTTATTCTTGCATGATTGCCTTTCTCTTATGGCAGTTATGGGAGATGCACTCGAGCCGTCTCCACTGGTACGCCCTCTCTCTCCCTACACCACCCTCACAACTTATATGTAAGCCTTTTGCGACATCTCAAAAGCAGTCTTGAGACGTCTCAAAAACAGCCGTTTAAGATGTCTCAAATGGGAGGTGCACTCGAGCCGTCTCCACTGGTACGCTCTCCCTCCCCTCACAACACCCTTACAACTTTTAAGTACGTCAAATTACATACAACTTACACCCTTATAAACTGATTCATGTGTTAAAATTCACAACCATCGTGCCATCTATATTCTCTCCGTAGTGCACACTTCTGGACCCCTGCAGGGCACTCTGCCACAGTTGCTTTGGGTTCAACTCCACTGACCTCTCCTCCAAGTCCCCTGCTGGCCAAGGCTGCTTCACCCACGTGCCCACTGCCTCATGCATGCACGCATGCTCTCCTGCCACCTCTATCCCTCTGTCCCTGTGGCTCTCTGTCGTTCTATCCCCCCTCCCCCCCACCCTTCCCTCCAGTGGCGCCTGTATTACCAGAAGTGGTTGTCTATTCCTTTCTCCCTCTCCCCCTCCCTCCCTCCCTCCCAGTGGCGCCTGTGTTCTACGCGCACCTGGCAGCGACGCACTGCCGCAACCACTTTGACCACGATCATGATCACGACGCCACCGAGTTCTCCTCCGAGGCCACTGCCTCATGCATGCTCCCCTGCTCCCATGCTCCCATGCTCCCATGCTCCCATGCTCCTCTGCTCCCCTGCTCCCATGCTCCCATGCTCCCATGCTCCCATGCTCCCATGCTCCCATGCTCCCATGCTCCCCTGCTCCCATGCTCCCCTGCTCCCATGCTCCCATGCTCCCATGCTCCCCTGCTCCCATGCTCCCATGCTCCCATGCTCCCCTGCTCCCATGCTCCCCTGCTCCCATGCTCCCATGCTCCCATGCTCCCATGCTCCCCTGCTCCCATGCTCCCATGCTCCCATGCTCCCATGCTCCCATGCTCCCCTGCTCCCATGCTCCCATGCTCCCATGCTCCCCTGCTCCCATGCTCCCCTGCTCCCATGCTCCTCTGCTCCCATGCTCCCCTGCTCCCATGCTCCTCTGCTCCCATGCTCCCCTGCTCCCATGCTCCTCTGCTCCCATGCTCCTCTGCTCCCATGCTCCTCTGCCAACTGTGTCACCCTGCCCCTGTATCCCTCTGCCCCTGTGTCCCTGCCCCTCTCCTCCCTCCCTCCCAGTGGCACCTGTGTTCTACGCACACCTGGCAGCGACGCACTGCCGCAACCACTTCGACCACGGTCACGATCACGATGCCACCGACTTCTCCTCCGAGTCTAGTGCCGGCCGCAACAGGGACCCTGGCGTCCCTCGCCCTCCCCCGCCGCCTGTGCCTGAGCTACCTGCTCTCGCTCAGGGCATGCCCACACGCATGTTCTACTGCTGAGTTTAAATGCGTCTCAAGACGCCGCTGCCCCTCGTCCTCCCCTTCTTCCCTCGCCACCCCCCTCCGCCTGTGCCTGAGTTGCCTGCTCTCGCTCAGGGCATGCCCACACGCATGTTCTACTGCTGAGTTTCGAGACGTTCCAAGACGCCGCTGCCCCTCGTCCTCCCCTTCTTCCCCTCGCCCTCCCCCGCCGCCCGTGCCTGAGCTGCCTCTTCTCGCTCAGGGCATGCCCGCCGCATGTTCTACTGCCGAGTTCGAGACGTCTCAAGACGCCGCCGCCCCTCTCCCTTTCCCTCCTACCCCTGAGCCGCCTAATCTCGCTCACTGCATCCCCACATGCATTTTCTTCGCTGAGTTTGAAGACGTGTAAAGGTGTTGTTCAACTCAGTAGCTGTATTAAGGTGTTGTTCGCCTTACCAAGTCGCGCGAATGATAAGAAAACTATTAGGTACTCTAATGGGCATATGATGACAACAGCTTGTTAGAATCCTAGGCAAAGTTGTGTTGCAATGTCGAGAGGTTTTGGTACAAGAATGAAACCTAAGGGGTTGTACCCCACAGTGATTACCCCACTAAAGCCTATCTAACCAACAACATATACACATATGTTTGACACACCCCCATAGGCAAAGTGGGGGAGAACAGAGGGTCACAAGGCCAGGCAGGAAGTGCAAAGCAAGCTCAGGGTGGATCACAACGTCACCACGCAGTCTGAGCACAAGCAAGAAGGACACAAGGCCAGTTCACATGCAGAGATATATATATAACAACAACAGTACAGTGATATCTACCTACAAGAACAAGCATGCAGGAATACATATAAATCATGGTACAAACAAAGCCTACAGCAAGTGAGGAAGCGTGGGCACAAGGCCTAACAAAGTGCAGAAACGCTGATGATCACCAGGCGGAAGCGCCTTGGTGAATATATCAGCAGTGTTGGCCCGAGTGGCCACGTAGGTAAGACGAAGCTGGCCATGCTGCTGCAGCTCTCGAGCAAGAAAGTAACGGAGAGCGATGTGCTTTGTTCTGTGCTCCAGTCTGTGCTCCTGACACAAGGCAATGGCGACCTTGTTGTCGACGTACAGAACTGGAGGAGAACGAGGCCGCTCTCCCAAGTCGGTCAACAAGTAGGTGAGCCAGCGCAGCTCCTGTGCAGCCATGGCTGTGGCGTAGATCTCTGCCTCACAGCTGGAGCCGAGAACTGAAGACGAACGTGTAGAACGCCAGGAAACTGAACCAGAACCAAGGCTGAAGGTGTAACCCTGTGACGACCGCTGCGTAGCCTGGTCGTCAACCCAAGAGGCGTCCGAGTGACCAGTGAGGACAACGTCACCCCGTCCTCCAAGCACGAGCCCCATGCCCGATGTACTGCACAAGTAGCGTAGTACCCTCTTGGAAGCATCCATGTGCACCTTTCGGTGCCGACCAGGAGCCACGTAGCGAGCTAGAAGGCCAAGAGGGTACGCAAGGTTAGGACGAGTGCAAGTCATCAGGTACATGAGGCAGCCCACTAACTCTGGGTAAGGACCACTCGGCTCTACAGACTCGTCCGAAGGTGGAGCTGAGAGCGAGTGACCTGTAGCCAGAGGAGTGGCCTGTGCTGAGGACCAGGTGAAACCGAAGCGCTGAAGGACCTGCTGCACCATGTGTGACTGAGTCAGTGTGATGGTGCGGCGTGCTCTGTCCCGGGTGATCTGCAAGCCAAGGTAGCTGCGCAGTTCACCCAGGTCTGTGCACGTGTGTCTCTTCTGCATCTCCGACTTCACTAGGGCGAGAGCCTCAGTGTCAGCAGTGGCAAAGACCAAGTCGTCGACGTACACGAGAACGTAGAAAGGCGGCAGCGAAGTGTCGGTGCGCAAAAACAGCGACGGGTCAGCAGTCGACGGAGCAAACCCAAGAGCCGCAAGTGTCGTCCTCAGTGTGTCGTGCCACTCACGTGGAGCCTGGCGGAGACCGTAGACCGGCCGCCGGAGGCTCCACTGGGTACCAGGAGGGAACGACCCAGTGAAGCCAGGAGGGCGGCGAAGCCAGATCTCCTCGTGCAGGCTGCCCTGTAAGAAAGCTGTGCTGAAGTCAAGAGAGTGAAGCTCGTAGTCACGCTGAGCGGCAACGTGCAGCAGCACCCGAAGAGTGGTCATCTTCGGGGTGGGGGAGAAGGTCTGGAAGAAGTCAACCCCCTCTCGCTGACTGAAGCCTCGAGCCACGTAACGAGCCTTGAAGACAGGCGGAGAACCGGGCGGCCGCTTCACCCTGAAAATCCACATGCCACTGACAATGTTCGCCCCAGGAGGGGGAACCTCATCGACGTAGGTGCCTGTGGACTTCCAGGATGCCATCTCTGCGTCCATGGCTGTCTGCCACTGAGAGGAGTACTCACCCGCTATCGCCTCAGCGTACGAGCGTGGGGTAGGGATGTCTGGTGCATCCGGGTCTCCCTCAGGGGCAAGCAGCATGGATACGAGATGAGGCGCAGCGGCTGCAAGTCACTCAAGGTCCTCCTGCCTGTCCTCAAGGACGTCCGTGCTAAGAGCACACTCACCCCCGACGGTCGAAGGACAGACAGACGCAGACTCAGCAACAAGACTGGCGGCGTAGTCAAGACGACAGTGAGCAGCAAAGGCAACAAGCTCAGTGACTAAGGCAGACGCAGCAGCAGACTCAAACGACGGGTCAGTGACAATAGTGGCAAGCAGACGCGTGACAGTAGAGTGCTCAGCACGAAACCGGTCAGACGGTGGGTCAGCAACGATAGGCAGAGAGGACGCAGGGGGAGGCGGTAGAGGAACACGCGGCGAAGGAGAGGAAGGACGACGAACTACAAGGGGAGGGCCGGAGACAGCCGGCTGGCTCTGACTAGGAACACGACGACTGGAACTGACAGGGGAGACGGGACGCAACGCAGGCTCACGACGCTCTGCAAGGCCACCAAGCTGCTCTGTGTACGGAGAAGGAGCAGGCAGCGGTGAGCCAGGCTGTAACGGAAGACCAATAGACGAGGGAAGACCGAGAACCTGGCGAAGTGCAGAGTCAGGTGGTGGCTGAGACGACGGAGACGGCGGAGTGAAGAACAGGCGCGACTGAGCAGTGCCACCAGCACGAGCAGCACCAGCCCCTCCAGCAGCTCCAGCACCTCCAGCAGCTCCAGCACCTCCAGCAGCTCCAGCACCTCCAGCAACTCCAGCACCTCTAGCAGCTCCAGTACCCTCAGCAGCTCCAGTACCGCCAGTAGCTCCAGTACCACCAGCAGCACCACCACCAGCCCCAGCAGCTCCAGTACCCCCAGTACGAGCACATCCGGGACCAGCGACACCAGCAGAAGAACCTCCATCAGGAGAGCCCTGAGGTGCAGAAGTGGGAGGCTGACGGCGACCGTACCAGTCGTGCAGCTGCTGGGAGGTGAGGGGCACACGCGGACGAAGACGGCTACTCCAAGGAGACCGCATAACAGCAGTCTCAGAACCGTCAGGCGACTCACCCCCAGACTCAGCACCCCCAGGCTCCGCACACACAGGCTCAGCACCCCCAGACGCAGCACCTCCAGACGCAGTACCCCGAGACGCAGCACCTCCAGGCTCCTCACATGCAGGCTCAGCACCTCCAGGCTCTACACGCTCAGCGCCCCCAGACTCAGCACCCCCAAGCTCCGCACCCCCAGGGACAGCACCACTCCCAGCAGGACCGGAGTCACCAGTGACCTCAACAGGCGCAAGCGCAGGGGGGTCTACCTGAGAGACACCTGAAGGAGCAGGACCTGGCGCGGGGAGGGGGTCTACCTGGGGAGGACCTGGGGCGAGAAAGAGCGGCGGGGGGGGGCGAGGAGCCGTGCGGTAGGGGAAGAGGCGGTAAAAGGGGACCGACTCGTCAAAGGTGACGTCTTGAGACGCAAAGACACGGCGCGAGGCGGGGTCGTAGAACTGCCAGCCAGGCGCGTCAGGGACAAAGCCAAGGAAGACGCAAGGAATGGCGCGAGGGGAGAGCTTGTCCGCGGTGGTATCGCGGACAAAGGCACGAGCACCCCAGACCCGGAAACGCGACGCGTCGCCAACCTTCCCTGTCCACAGCAGTGTGGGCGAGGTCTCCGGCAAGGAGACACGGGGCCAAAGGTTGAGCTGATGCGCGGCGTACCGGACCGCAAACGGCCACAAAAAATGGGGGGCAGCCGCATAGATCATGGAGGTACGAGCGACCTCCATGACTAAGCCAATGCGGCGCTCAGCAACCCCATTCTGCTATGGAGAGGCCGGAAGCGTGAAAGTCTGGCGGATGCCGTGCTCCGCACAGAAGGCTGCCAAGAGGTCTGAGGAGAACTCACCACCTCTGTCAGAGTGCAGACGCAGGACAAGAAAGTCCGACTGGAACCGCTCGCGCAGCTGGAGACGAGTAGCGCGGATCCAGGGGATCAAAACATCAGGGACATCCCCCTTGCGCTGCAAGGGGAAGACCGTGGTGTAGCACGTGTAGTCGTCAACAACCAGCAGGAAGTACCGCTCGTGGCCCTGTCCACGGACGCGGGCTGGGCCACACACGTCCAGGTGGAGAGTCTGCAGTGGAGCCTCTGTGGGAGGGAACGAGGAGGAGTGAGGAGCGGCGCGCTGCCGCCCCTCGACGTAAGGAATGCAGGGCGGGGCAGGCGAGGGAGGGAGGGGAGGCAGAGACCTGGGAAGACCAGAAACCAGGAAGCGGGAGTGCATGCTGCGCAAGCGAGGCAGGGAGGGGTGACCAAGGCGGTGGTGCCACAGGAGAGTGTCGTGCGACAGCCGGCGACACTCACACTGTGTAGCTACCTGAGCAGACGCGTGCAACTGGGGAGACAAAGGGGCGGAGCGTGACGCAGTGGTGAGGGTGTACAGACTGGACCCTGGCGCACGAGCGAACGTGGCCAGGTGGCGACCAGTCTGGGAGCACGTGCAAATCGCCACACGCTGCCGGCCAGGGGTGAAGGTGTCAACCCCCGCATCCTGGAGGACAGCGTTACTCCCCAAGTTCGTAGAGAACAAGGGGAGGTGGAGACCAGACAGCTCACCAGACGGGACCGCCGGACACGGAAGCACAGTAGAAGACCGTGCAAGCACTGGGCCCCCAGAGGGGTCAGCCAGTGAGACAGGAACAGGTGCAGGGAGGGGAGTGACTGTGGTACTGTCGCGAAAGAAACAGCGGGAAGCACCAGAGTCAAGTGTAAAGGTGTGCAAGGCCTATGCAGGCGCAGGACCAGGGGGAGCAGACTCACAAGCACCTAGTGCTGCAGGGGCTATACCAGGGGTTATACCAGGAGCCGGCGGCACACACAAGTAGCAGTCACCCTCAGCACTAATAGACAATGCATACATAGCAGCAAGAATTGCCTCATAGTCAAGATCAAAGATAGGG